ACTTGTCAGGAAGTCTCTCTAGAGTGTGCTGGATTTTACTCACCAAATGACAGGTCCCTCACAAGTCAGTCAGAATTCTAAAACTGCAATGGCTCTCCCATGTCAGGTTTAAAAGTGATGACTGCTATCTGCTAACATAACCTCAAACTGATGATAGAGCAGATAAAAACATCAGACTCTGAAATACCTCTGATTTACTGCCTCTGCCATAGAAGTGAGAGGCTCTACGAGAACAGTCAGGGTTAGCAGTGGGAAGAAATAGCTAAATTTCATATGGCTCATGAACAGGAGCCCATATCATTGTCGTATCAACCACATTTTCATTTAAGTACCAACAGGTTACTTTCTGCATCGGTGAGTGTAAAGTGATGCATATGGCGAAAAACGGTTAATTTGGTCGACGATCATTTGGACCATTAACAGTCATGACTGAAATTCTGGCATTACAACCATCAGATTGGTGCACTGTAGCTGTCAAAAGGGCATAGTGAGCGTTAAGAATTATTAAACAGAGGGATAGAGAACAGTCAGCACTATGATAGTGTTCCATACCTTGATCACTGTGTGCCTGCTTTGTTCTCCCCTGTCTGAAAGTGATTTAGGGAAGAGCAACAATGGTAATCACGATACAGAACCACTCCTGCAAAAGCAAAATTGAAGTTGTGATAGGCAAGATGACTGTGGGGAATATAAAAATGTTTACAAAATGATGTTGAGGTAGGAAGTACAGAGCATCAAATAAGCCAGCAATTCGCAAGCTGACAAATACACTACAAAGTTGTAGCTTTTTGTACAATACTTAGGTTGCATCTACTCTCCCTACAGAAAATGGTGCAGGATGGACTTTTACCAGGATTCAGGAGGAAGTTATTGAGGTTCACAGACGCTGTGGACAGTTACCAAATAAACAGAAAGCACACCTGGTTCAGGATGTCCTTGAATATGAAGACCGGGCGAGTGCTTGTTTGTATGTGGAAGGAAGTATCACATGTAATTGTTTTGTTTCTATACTCTTCTCTAGCACCTGCTTTTGGCATTACAGAGGTCAAGGTACTGATGAAGCGGCCTGCTCGTCTTCCCCTTGCAGCTGTCATTACCATGTTTACAGTGGTACAGTAGCTCATTCATAGAGCAACATTGTTAGACTAATTTTTTTTTTCTTAAGAGAAACAGTAAAGTAAGAATTAATTCTTATCCACTACACTGCCTTCATGTTGGTAAGGACAAATCTATTAAGTCACTATAGTTCTTCTAGAGAAAGGGATTCACTTTAAGTCCAATCAGATGAGGTCCTTACTGTGCAATTTCAATTATGTCTAAATTTATGACCCCAGAAAGAAAGCAGCCATGAATCACTGTGCAGGAATGGCATAATTTAGTCAGCTTGATCAGCTACTTCAGCACTTTGGTATTTAAGGGTTTTCATTATTTTATTTTCTTAAAAAGCTAAAACATTTTAAAGGAGTTGTTTTATACTTTTATTGTTCTGTAAAACAGATTAGCAGCAGCAGAAATAATTTAAAGAGCTGATTTATGAGGGTACTACTGCAACAAGTTAACATAGCAGAGGAAAAAGAGTTACTGCGGCTCAGATATAATCCTTCGGGAATGTTTCTATTTGTATTCAGACATGGCTAGGTGGAATGTCACCATACATCTAAGAGGGTAAGCCGATTTCTTAGTGCTCTATTTTAAAATGACTCGTTAGAGCCCCTTTTTCTGTTTGGCCAACTAAATCAAAAGCATAATAATCTCTTCATGAAAAGATGTCAAGAGTTCTTGGCATGGAGTCTCTGCCCAACTGTAGGAAGTGGCCATTGTAACTAACCTACACAAGAGAGGTTCAACGAGCCGTTCCAACCACCAGTTCACTGCTGCCCCTGAGCTACTTGTATAGCCCGGCGCTGAGGACTCCACTCTTTGGGATCTTCCTGTACAACGATTCTCCAGGTAATATTAACATACTCATCTACAAACTCCATACCACAGAATAAACTATGCAAGGAGTATCTGATACTGCTTTACATACTGTAAAATGCTGACATGCAAAAGTTTTATCTCTTGGGAGAGATTTCTTTGGGTTTCCACAGAGATTCAATAACTTTCTTTTTACACAGCGTTCAGTATGCCTGACTGATTTGGGCCACGTTTGTACAGCCCTGGGATCAGTTCAACAGCTGATCAATTCTAAAATCTGCAAAAGCATTCCTGGCACCTCCAGTGCATCTCGGGAAAACTAGAATCTTAAAACCCACCGCAACGCAATAGTGGAGGGACGAGTGAAGCTTATTGTCCAAGTAACAGATGCACACCTTCAAGCTAATAGATCTACTGGGATGTTGAAGAGACCTGCCAGGAAAGCAATTACCAACAGGTCCCAGCATAAAAACTGGCTGCCACTCCTCATCCTGCTAGAACGACACCATATGCTGAAGCTGAAGGGGACATATGCTTACAAATTTATCCATTTTTCAAGACATGACAGGCACCTACTAAAACAAACACAGAAATAACCCTCCGCCCTGGCAACTTCCTTCTTCATCGCAAGGCAAGATCTGTCCTTAGCACAGCGGCAGGAAAACGTGGGGCAGTAGAACCCGAGTGCGCTGAAAGGCAAATGGAGTGAACACAGAGTTCCAGGAGAGGGGTGAGGGACCTAACAGCAGTAGGAACTGCTGAGGTGAGGTGAAGGGGCTTACACAGAGCTTCCAACGAGATGGTGCAGAAATTAAAAAAAAACGAAAAACAAATCCCCAGACAAGATGATAAGGGTAATAGATTCCTAAGGCACCCATCAAAACTACTCCCTGCAATGAAAACAGCACTAAATGTCCCTAAAGACAGAGCCAGTAATTAAGCTGAGATGTTACATTCTCATGCTTTTTGATGCCTTCCTCACTTTTTTTTCCATCTAAAGATTTTATACAGAGAGAAAAGAGTGAACTCAGTTGTTTGTTTAGGATTTCCTGATAGCTGGCCACCGAAACATGAGTCAGAGATCCAGGATGTGCAAGAACTTTTATGCATTTACTGAACAAGCAGACTGTGCAAGTAAAAATTCAGTTTCACCCAGCACATATTAGCCACATACTGAAACACACTGTATTTACTGCTACACATACCCGTGTTTTCCTCTGATAATTACCTCCAGAAGCATGAAAGCCCTCAATATACCATAGGGTTGAACTAAAGTTACAGTCTTTTAGCGTTGTGGAAACGGCAGGGATTCTTTTGCGACAGAGAAGTTTAAAATAATGAAATTCCCCATACTCACTCAGCAGTTGGCAACTGAAAGAGAGAAGTGCAAATACTTAGAAGTGCCTGCAAGTGTCACAAAGACTCCTGCTCACACGCTGTAATGGCTTCGCTCTGCTATTAGTGTTCAAAAAACAACATAAGTGTGTTTCCATTTCCAGACTTAAAGCACATTAATCAACTTCAGAACTGCAATGAAATTACTGTACCCCGTGTACAGGCAGAACCCAAAGGATGCCAGTAAGGGGGGCTATTATTTATTGCCAATACTACCGAGTAAACACACAAAACCAAGAGGTGGCACTACATTTGATCTTAGGAAGCACAATTTTTCAGCCATCACAGCTTGGCACAGGGATTTTACTCCGATATGATGAAAACATTTGGAAAAAAATAAAATAACTTTCGATTCAATAAAAATATATAGTTTAATTACCTTACTGTTGGCTACATTTTAGTTACATTTAATATTAAATTAAGCTGTATTAAAAATCTGTACAAAGCATAATCTAATAGTACATAACCTTTACATATTCGTTATAATAAAACATCCAAGTCATACAGAATTGAAGCAAACACCGCAAGAAGAAAAGAATTCCAAACATACACATATACATACCCACCCCAAAGAACAGCGGGCAAGTTCTAAGAAGCCACACCATATCATAGAACCAAAGTAAAAGAAAATCGGACCGAGATAGCGTGTCACCGTTTATAACACTGTAGCCTACATGCAATTACGGAATTTTAGACTCTTTCCAGGAAAATCATTCCCAAAGCTAAGCTACAAATGACAGTGTATGTTTTTCATTTGGTATTTGGCAGTTTCTCAGTGCTGGGATTTTAAAAGCCCTAAAATTTTAAAACTTGTCTCACAAAACAGTTATTTCAATTAAAGAACAAAATCTCAACCTGATAGTACTAAAATCTAGTTTTAACATTCTACAAATTTGGAGAGTTTCAAAAAGTTTCTTATTAAACAAAATAAAAAGTATCCAAAACAATTTAAAAAGAACATTTAAATGGTAACATGATGGCAATATAAATATGGAACTTCTTCAAAACTGTTTTCTTTGTTATTAGCCAGTAACAAAGCTCACAGGAGCATGCCTACTAATAAAAGTCGGTTTGACAAATACGAGTCTAATTTGCACGTATTCCTAGTCGACACCTTTGCCATTGCAAGGATGGGCTGTTTACAAAGAAGCAGTGTTCAATATCTGTGTGCTAAGGTTAAAATCCTTCTGACCTCCAAAGAGGCGGAAAAGCAACAGTCCAGGCCTGTACCAGTACATTTAAGATAAAGCAAGACGATACATCACAACTGCAGCACCATGAACTTTGGAACATCCGAAATAATTTCAGAGCAGCTGATCCTCAGCTTCCAGCACCAGGAGCCAGAAGAGCACCACTGTGTAACGAGGGCAGAAGACAAAACTGAAACAACCAGCAATCAGAGTGTAAAGAAACAAGCAGATGTCGGAAATCTTGGGAGCCATGCACGACTAGGCTGTCTAGCAAACAGTTCAAACTTCTGCATGAACAGAGGAAGTAAGAAGTTTTAAGCTTTGATATCCATTAAAAAAAAGTCGTATTATCATTTGGCTAGGACGACCAACATTTGCAATCTGTCTTTAAAGTCGTTATCTTACTCCTTTTCTTTCGTATATATACCCTAATCTCATGACATTACTTCACATGTTAATGCTCAAGACCAAATCTGTATCTAGGCACCAAAAAGCCATGAGCTATATATATATATATATATATATTTTCAAAGAGTGTTACAGGCTGTATGAACAGACTTTACAGCACAATTTAGATTTGGGCTTCCTCCCTGGGAGAAAGCAAACTGTCCCCACCCATCACTGCAGAATAGCCGCACACACGAACAGATAAATAGGTCATATTTGAAGACGATTGCAACAATTTGACAGTCTCATCAGATACACAATAAAACCTGTCTTGCCCTAAAGTAGGTTTAAACCAGGCTTTGAATGAGTGTGAAATTAATAGTCACAACTGCAAATGAAGTCTTATATCCCCATGCTTATTCCAGATAAAAGCTACACACTAACATAGGCGACAGCCTGGTAGTAGCCTGTGAAAGGCTACTCTGAAAGAAAATTGCGACTTCTACACCACCATCAAAGCCAGGAATGGCACCATTATGGCCAAGATTCCCTTCCAATCTGAAACAAGCCATCACAGTTAAAAGAAAATCTCCGTAATGTAGTATCAGCTACCATTAGCTAGTAACTCATTACAAACAGTCGCTCCTTTTCCAGCTGAAGTTGAAAAGCCACAAAAATTAAAAACAATGAAAGAAAAGCTTATGGATGAGAAAAATCTCTTAGGAAGAAAAAAAGATATTCTGCTTGTGCAAAAATAAATCCAATTGTCTTTGTAAGAAACTCTTCAGTTAATATTTTCACTAGAAGTTGCCACATTTTCATAGACCATTTTAAGATAAAGTATGAATGTAATTTCGTTACTAACTTGATTTGTAAATAATCTTTGAATTAATCCTCATCACACTGTCTTACCATTAGGACAAGAGAGAAATGAGCGCATCCAGAAATTTGCTCCGGTCTTCTGTTTTCAATTCAATTACTAAAATACAAAACATTTTATTACAAGATGCAAATAACTGAAAGATTTCCCACATGTCATACGTGAAGAGTATTAATTCCAAGTATACGCATTTATAGTCTTAATCATCTTTGAGAAGGAAAAAGCAAAACTACTTATCTGGAGAAAAGGCAAAGCACATTGCTTATTTTGCTCTTAGATTTCGGCAAGCTCGGATATCTAGGTGCTCACTATACGACAGAGCAGCCACTTTTTAAAATCAAGGAATATTTCAATATTATGTTCAATATGCATATATGAACACGTACTGTTAAAAATCACCTCTTTTGTAAGCGCATACAAAGGTAGGGAAATCTTGTTGCATAAGTATCTCATTTTTCAGACTGAAGAGTGTATGTCATAACATGAATTCCGTACCTGGTTTGGCTGCTAAATATAAAAACTCTCACAGATAACCTCACCGATTTTAAACTGCAGCGCACATACAAAAATCGTGACTCCATGCGAAACGCAGACCGTCTCACACAGATCTGCGAACGTCTGGCTGTGCAGTTTATAATTTCTGCACAAGACAGCACTTAGAGATTGACAAATACTGTAGTTTGTGTTCACAGCAGGCTCAGGAATAGCAAAACAGATACATACCCTTGACGTTTGCACCTAGGACTTACACAAAGGAGTATCCTGCCCACAGCCGTTATGCTTTACAGAGGCTGCGTAAGCCCTGACCCCTACAGGACTGTTCGGGGAACAGGACAGGCGGCAGGCAGCGCTACTCACTTGACATGTCGAAGTGGTTGTGTAAAGTCCTCGAATTGGTACTGTCTGCAGCTTTCTCAAATGCTCTTCCAAAAAAACTGAAAGATAAACAGAAATACACACGCGCATTACGCAAAAGGATGTTTACTAAGGTTCGGAACACTTTGCTTGCAGAGCATTGAAAATGTCTTCCAGATGCTCTTCATGTGCCACGTAGTCACACGTCTCACACAAGTACAAAAATCGTAACGTTATATATAGGCTTTAAGAAATGAAGTCATGGGTCATATAGTGAACTATTTTGCTCTTTTAAGATAAAGAAATAGTTAAGAGGGAAGGAAAAAAAATGGCAAGGAAACTGGGGAACATCTGTATCTTCTCTCGAAGTATTTCTTGCATGTCATGTGCCAGACGTGTGTTTTTAACAAGGATACAATTCAGTGTTCAATAGGTAGGGGGAGGCTATTTGCCTCAGAGACAGGAAAAGCGGACAGATAACCTTTGGTAAGAACTTTTGAACAATATGCTTACTTCTTTTTGTCAGAGCTTTCTGTCTCTGGAGGAATCCCCACCATGATCACAGTTCCCTGTTCAACATCCATTGGCGCAGCCATTATCAGTGGCAGCAATTTACAGCGTTTGTTTTTTGTCTGGAAGTCAGAAAGCCTCTGTTAGACGAAACTCTGGAAACAATTTCATTTTGGGTCTCCATGTGAGACTGTATTAAAAATACTCAAAGAATACAGCCACAATGAAGTTCAACAGCAGTTTCTTTAAATAATCTCCTAATCTCTTGTTTTTTACAGTAAAAGTACCTTTAAGGACCAGTAGAAATTTTATTTGCTCCCTCAAAATTTACAAAATTACACAAAGATTCTAGATTGTAACTCTTGGTAATGAAAACTCTAACACTGGAAGTCTCCCAGGCAGATATCATTCCCAGAGCAGCATTCACAGAATGTGCTCAAATTATCCAACCAATTATTAAAATTTTCATATAATGTTTTTAATAGTCAAATGCAAGTATCTGAAAGAACAATAACTACTGCACAGACTAGGAGTTACTCAGAAGTTTTTGATTTACTTACAGAACAAACAAACGATTTCAGTAAGTATTTACTAAGCAGGCACAGAGACACTGGTTTGGAAAACAGTTTCACATCTGGGGTTCCCTAGAAAAAAAAGAGTTACTGAACCATTAGAAAAGAGGAGTTTGAGCTCAGCCACTTGACTTCAAAATGAAGCCCTCCCCTCTTTGAAAGGTCTGGTTTTTCCTCTGGGAATTTCAGAGTAGATGTCAGTATTGACCCATCAAGAGATATACTGATATGGATATACAGATACAGCGCAGTATAGACAAATAGAGGGGGTTTTAACCCTCATTAAGTCAAGCAGTTAGGAAAACTGTTATTCAAGTATGATATAGCCAAATGTGACAGTCAAAAACTAGAATTCTGACCTCCATGAGAGAGCAATAGAGAAAAGGCCCCTGAGAAATGACGAGGTTGGTGCAAATACAGCTGGCTACTGTCTGCTGAATGGCACGGAGCTGCTTTTTGGCCAGGTCCAGTCCTTGGTGCAGTTTGTCCAGGTTACCCCTGCAACAGAAAGAACAGACACTTTTGTACAAAACTAAAGCTTTTCACACTACTCACGTGAATATTTTGATTTTTCCTCAGTGGCTTATGAAACATCAATGCATCTTTTAGATACGTAACCCACATTCCCTAAATAAAATTGTCAAAGAGTGAAAAGACATATTTTCAGTACCTGGAGAGACTGTCCAAAGCTTTAATGAAATTAGTTGTTTCAGGCCCCTCTTTCTCTATATTCTCCATGAGAGAAGCTGTTGCATAAACTATATCACTTGCTGAGAACTTGTTCTTAAAGCCAAAGTGAATGCTGAAGGTCTGAACTCGTAAATCTTTCATTCTGCAAAATGAAATAAAATCAGTAAAGATTAAGATAATTAGCATTGACCAGCCAGCTCCTCAGTCCATTAACATTACGAACACAAAGGCAAATCATACCCTAATACTTGCAATGAGCCTGGTATTACTTTGTCAATATAAACTCCACATTTTTAAAACAAGATGTTACATCCTCTTCATACAAAAATATCCAAACTTAATTGAAAAGTATTTTCAGATAAATCATTTATATTTAAAACCATTTACCCAAACTTGCTTGCCGATTCTTCAATCATTTCTCGAAGATTTTCTTTCAAAGACATGTCCATGGAATTAAACTTCTGTTTCACTTGCTTCAAAGGCAAACTAAAAACAGAAGGAAAAAACATATTGATAGATACGCCAGAATAAACAAATATTTTGCCTTCCTTTCCTGAGGCTTTCTTAATATTAGGCAATTTAACTCAAGTCTGACTAAGCTTGTTTATATGATTTTTTCTTTAATCACTGAAGAGTGGGTAGGAGCAAGCATAGGTTACTTACTAACCTACTGTTCTGTAAAGGCACACAGCTGAAGTATTCCTCATACACCAAGAGAGAATTTGCATAACTCACCTACTCAGAGCCCCACAATCATATTTAAAATACAGCTTGTGAGTACTCAGCTCGTTAATTCTCAGTGTTTTCCCGTTAATTCATTAACAAATATATCCTTTAATCAAGACCCAGATTTTCATAACTCACCCCATATCAGCCAAAAACTCCTGGAGCCTCTTCTGCCCTTGTACGGACCAAAGCTTAAGGTTGGCAGAGGTATATGAAGTGTTACAAAGACTTTCATACAGAGACCAGTGCTGATAAAGCGCCAGGCGCAGACTGAACAGGAATTATGGCAAATAATTATAAATACATATAAACACATTTAGAAATAGTAAAAAAACCTCCACAAACCAGTAGGTAAGTCTTCAGCTGCCCTTGCATATTGCATCTCTGTGCTATGTAAGCTCAAGTTAGAAGCTCCAAGTGCACGGAACACAAGACGAGCAACACCGTCTTGAAACTAATTCTGACAGGTTGAGCTGAACTGCAGCTACACGAGCCACTGCGGGAGAAACTCATGTTCAACATCCAAACAAACTTCCATTTCTTTTAGTTCCATTCCCAGCAGCAGAGATGGTGCTGGGATTTTTATTTTTTCCTAGATAAAATCTCATCTGAGCTTCACCACGTGGATAGAGTTCCTTTTCCCCAGCTCTTACGCAAGGATACTCATATTCGAAGGCTATTCGCATGCAGTCAATGGACAGAGAATTTTCTTCATCCTCGTTGCGGTGGTTATGGCGAGACACGTGACGCTGTAGGATTCCAATATCAGTCACATACTTCATTCTTAAGCAAAAAGAAATCTGTCACTTTCTTCTTTTAAAAAAATCCAATTTATTAAAAAATGTTTGTTCAATATTCAGCCATATACCCAGGCAATTAAAGCTAAAATAAAACCAATACAGAGAGACAGACTGGCCAACGAAATTACTTATTACATTTATCTCCTTAAAAACATCAGTATCTTAGTAACAACAGAACACCAGAATTAGAGTGTACTCATTTATTACTAGAACTCTGATTGCATCTAGTAGGAAATAAGAAAAGAAAAAAAGAAAAAGACAATCTGGAACTTAACTAAAACTAGAAAGAAAGCTGAACATACAGCATTTTTTCCATTAATAAAAATGCATCAAGTTCATAATTATGTAAGCTACTATTTAAACTTCATTTCTGCACAGATCAGAAGTGATTGTTTTATCATTTTGAAAAAATAGTTAGTTTAAAAATTCTGAGTAGTATAAAAGGGAGATGAAATTTTTCTGATGTATATTCCCATTTCTGGAAGGCATCAGATCACATTCAATCATTAAGATATTTAATGTCACTGTTTACTAATTATCTTGCATTATATTAATTCCTGTATGTTTCTTGATCTGTATTAATTGCTATTAGTTAATCCTAAAAAAGTTTTTAAAAACAGATAAATAAATAAAAATGCATAAAGATAAATTGAAAAACGATAATCTTTCTTACTGAGTGATTTTATCTTGGACCCATTGATCAGTTAGGCCAACAATAGCCCACCTAAAATTGGGGGGCAAAAGGAGAAAAAAAAAAAAAAAGCAGCTTTAAACAAAAAGCATTCCAGTACAGTATTTTATATTTAACCCTCTAGGATGTAACAGATTAAGTCAGAAACACTGTTTACCAGCTGTACATCAGAATGAATAACAAAGCCTTCTATACTATTATTCCCCCTGTAGCAGACACACACAGATAGCATCACCCTCCCTTCCTCCATGCAAAAATCCATTGGTCACTTGTAATTCATTTACAACGTGTCCTCCCAGCCCAGGCACACATCCACTCACAAAAGCCCGTACTGAAACCAGACAGTTTGGGGAAAGCTTGCGTCTCTTTATTTGGGGTTTGAACTGCTTAGCTCCTATGAAAAAGGATGATGGAAACATACCACAACATGTCGTTCAAGTCTTTAGACATCATCCACGCCAGATCGAACATCACCATCGCAGACTATAGGAGGGAAAAGCAAAACGACAGCGTAAACACAACACTCCCACTTCAGCAACCCAACAGAACAGTTACATTTGTCAAGTGCAAGCATGTTACTAAAGCCGCAAAATCACACTTGAGCCCGACAATTCTGCCAGTGTCTTACTTTCCCTTAGGAGAAAGAAAACCAGGTAGAACAAAAACTGTCTGCGGCTCTGCAGACCTGCATTATCTATGAAGCAGCACTTCAAAATGTAAAAATAATCAGACAAGAGGATGACTGACGGAAAGAACAGTTTCTGTGTCCCAAGGGTTATGTTTGAAATATTCTGACACTTGGAAAGGCAAACAAGCTCCCTACATGCTGAGAATATTTTGTGCACAGATACTTTTATCAAGACCCCAAAAATTTACAATGTCATGAGTTTTGGTTTTTATACCAGCATTAAGGATATCCAACAAAAGCATTAATAGTTCTGGTTTATAACTCTCCTCCACCGTTGACATTAGAGTAGCCGCTGTGGCTCAGCTGGCTGTTGTCTGCCAGCCTACCAGCATTATTTCTAGGATGTAAAATTGGGTAAAATTTTAATAGCAAACGAGTTCATACTTACTGAGGTCCCATGGTATTCGTATTGCTCATAATCAAACAGAATTTCTCGTCTAAAAAGGGGAAAAAAACCATATTTGAGTAAGTGGTGAAGTGGTCATGGGATCCAATTAAAAATGTAAGCCAGGAATTGTGAAATAATACTTAAATGTTATCTTAGCAATTAAAAAAAAACAAAACTGGGCTCGAAATTGTTTTTCTACAAGGCAATTAGATTTTAATAGCAACGTGGAAGTCACACTGAAATGTACTTATAAAGTAAGAAGAAAAGTTTATTGAATCATTATTCCTCATACCCCATTTTCTTATCCAATTTGTTCCTGCACTTTCCTATTGACAACAGTGGGATTGTTGAGAAAACCAGAAATTTTACCCTAAGATAGGCAGGGTAAGAATACTACAGGTACTTAAAAGGGAAGCAATGCACCTACTGCAAACCCAAAGGCATATATCACTATTTAAATCTATCCTCCCTTATTTTCATATAGAAACTATTTCTCTCCACGAAAGCATCTTGCAAATCAAGCAGCATAGCATCATGGGTTTGTATTCTCAACCGATTTTAGTCAAAGAGAAAGATCCAAGCAACATAAAAACCCCAAACACACCTGCGTGCTTCCCATTCTCGCCTCTGTCGCCTTTTCATTGTTCTCTCTATTATATCCTGTAAAGTAATTCCGGTGTATCATTATCAAATATTTTTACAATATTTTTACAATATTAATTTAAAATATTTTTACAATAATTTATTTACAAATATTTTTACATTTTTTAATTTTTACAATATTTTTTATCAAATACTTTCACTTTTGTGAAGTCTCAGCATCTTCGTGTGCTAGCGTGTATCTAGCTCACCTTCACAAAGAAGAGGCCCAGTACACAGCATTTTCAACACTAACAACACTGCATCCTCCCATTTCATAACATAAAAATGATACTGGTAAAAAAATAAAGAAGTGATAATTAATGAAGCTCCGAAAAAGGGGCACCCACTGTATATTTAAGCTCCATAAATAGCATAATCAGCCTGGAAACTCAGTAAGATCCTGGTGAAATATTTAACAGATTTGAGAATAGCTTTTGTGTATCCTATATAAAAATCTTCCTTTGCCTTTCTGATACCTGCTTTTGATGAGTTAGTGTGCTTCATAGATTAGTAGGAAAAAAATGTACAACATTAACAGAAAAATAATATGAAATACATATTAAATCTGAGAATTTATTTACATCTAATTGTCTGTCAATATTGCTAGCCTTGTGCCTTTGCTTCCTTGTATGGTATAAACAGAAAATACGCTACAAATAACATATGGCAAATTTAATTTTTTATGTCTGCTATAGCATACTTTTGTTAGTTTACTGCTACAAAGTGAGACAAAATGTATTGCTAAATTGTTTGTGAGCTCCGATCTTCTCAAATAAGTATTTAAAAAAAAATTATATCTAAACAAGTTATATTGCTAGACTGAAAAGTCCAGAGCCCACGATCAGAGAGAGAGCTCTTCAGTTCACCAGCTACACAAAGACAACATTATGCATAATCAAGTTCAAAACATCTGGTTTTTTTTTTTTTTTATAAGGAGAAAATATTTCTGTGCAGTTCAGACAAATAAACATTTTGTACCTCTCAAACTCTACTGGTCATAGTGGATTATTTTTAGACCTTACACATGAATTTTTGATCTAATGAAACATAATTTTTAATCTCAAATGTCATTATTATGATGATATAAAGCAGAAACAGACCTCTTCAAAACGTCTACGCTTCTCTGAAGGTTCTGACCCATCGCTTTCATTCTCCGAGTCCTCTTCTTCATCCTCTTCATCTCTGAAGATATCATCGTAAGCAGGAACATCGAGTTCATCGTCTTGTTTAACTAACAGCTTAATCTAGCAAGGGGAAAAAAAGCATTTTAAATAAAGTATCTTATTTAGTGACTAAAATATATTTCAAGTGGCAAACAGGAATACTTCAGATACTTAGTAAGAGAAACTAAAAAATAGTTTTGGCTGTGATTGACTCCTAGCATAATACCACTGCTTAATACTAAGACCTATTTATATAAGAGTAAAAAATATATTCCTTTTTACAGGCATTACTCAGAGAATTATCATTTATTTAATGCTTGTTAGAAGTCATGTTTTCAAATAATTTGTGTTTAAGAGTCAAATTCTAAGTGTTGCTAGATGCCAAGAAATAACACATGTTACATTCTGGCGGATGTTTATCCTCTGATTTGTAGCAGTTTGATTTATAGCGACAGCATTAGCAGGTGCTTACTGCTGACAGCTATCACCCTGCTAACAGTATCGATTTTATTACTGAAAACTTTTTTTTTCTGATCAAGTACATTACTACCGCAAATATTCATTACTATTGCTTCCAGACCTACCAGCTAACACCATAAGCAGTTTTGAAAAACCAGAAAAATCACTGCACCACCCACCACCACACAAAGATTTTTATTAAGAAAGAAAACCGTTTACCTGTGTGTCATTGTAAACATTCACTACGTTGATAGGTCTGTGGCTGTCACATACGAAAAAAAACGTGTCTTCTTCAGGCTGCAAGATCTCCAGAAGGTCAACATTGGCACCACAATTAATGAGAACAAAATATTTGAACTGCAAACAAAAGAAGGAAAGAAAAAGAATGCTTTTTACTTAGATTAGCAAGAAAAAACTGAAGACTGGAAACACCTTTGCAAAAATCTCAAAAAAATTGTACGACAATATACCGAAATCAGGCATCTTGGACATCCAATACCATCACCTTTTATATTGCAACATGTGAGCAAACTGAATTTGACTCTGTCAAAATCAGAGCACGTTAGTTTGAGATGATGCTGACAAATCTGTTACTGGTATGTTGAAATTTAACCACTGGTTTGAGGTAACCAATTATAATTAGTTTAAGAGCTGACATTTAAAGTTGGGGAAAGAAAAGAAGCACATATCTATATAAGGAGAACTGCAGCTTAAGTTTCCAGTGTTTTTTCACCTGATCTTTGTGCTCAAGAAAGGCAGTTTCAAGTTCTTGCCACCCAGATACCGGGACGAGGGTATATTGCACATGGTCACACTGAAACAAAGCCTGAAAAGAAGCAAATGGCTGTTAGCAATGGTGAGGGGAAACACCCTCTTCTACAATGCTATGCCACGCTGTAATTCTATTCCATACAAATCTTGAAGATATCCCAAACGACAAATCTAAATGAACTTTGGGAGTGCGACTTCCCAGATTTCAGTGTTATAACTCATGGAAAAAATAAGTTAAAAAAACATGTTAAACCTTCACTCCTTCCCCAGTTCAAACTTACTTAAATGATCCCAGGGCATTTTTTATTTTACTGTCAGCCTACAGCAATAGTGAACAAAGACTTACTTGGAGTATTTTACAAGCACATAATGCATCGACGTCCGAAGCAACCAAAAGAAGAACACGCTGCAAAAATCACAGAGTAACAATATTAATATTGTAACATAGGTGACAAATCTAATGTGCTGGTATGAGATGTGTAGATCACTGGGAGACCAGAAAAGTGAGAAAGTGACCTAGAGATCATTATAATCGTAAACCAAGATTGATTCTGAATGGACAACAGCAACCAAAAATTCATCCGTTGGGTCCCTGTAAACAGGAACGATGAACAACTCCACGTACCCCTAATACGGCTGCTGTTTTGGGGAAACGTGATTATTCCGTTTTTCATGACCATCACACAGTTTTGAAGGTTGAAGGCTCATCAGCGCTGCAACCAGTTGTCCACAGTGTGCCTGGAAAGGCCTGAGTTCTCAGCACAGAATCCCCAACAGTTTGGACTAAAGAAAATACGTAGAAAAAATAGGAGCAACTCTCAAAATAACCTTGATTTAGGCAAAACAACTTATCTGGTGGATTTTTTTTGATGTATGTGTTGGGTTATTTTCTAAACATATTTTCCTCACAGGTGGCGATGCTGAAGGAAACGCTTTCACCTCCACAATCCACAACAGCGCTTCAC